TTTTATATGTATAATTATGTATGCAGAAATCAACATTTAGAGAAGTTAACTATTGCTGGTAAGTGGTAGAACAAGGATTTGAAACCAGTTTTATTAAATTTGAAAGGATCTCTTTGTTCCAAAGCACATAACTGCTTCTCCACAGAGGCATCAAGATGACTTCAAGGAACATTCCATATGATACCTTTACTACTAGTGAAATGGAGCAATATTTATATCATAAACAATGATAAAGTAAAATGGAATTAATTTACCTGCATTAACATTATTAACATAATATCAATAATAAATGAAATTAATTACTACAATTAAATAATACCCTCAAAAACTCTGAGTCTCCAGCGACATAGATCCTAAGGCATTTGACTGCTAACCAGAAGGTTGGCAGTTCAAACCCACCAACCACTCCTTGGAAAGAAGCTTGGGTAATCTACTTCCGTAGTGATACTGCCTCAAAAATCCACGGAGTGGTCACTATCTGACTCAACTCGACAGCAGCGAGTTTGGTTTTGGTAACTATGACTCAAATTATCAATCTATAGAAATGAAGAGCAAGTAATAGAAAAAGAAGTGAAAGCTAGAGAAGAGGAAATAAGAAAAAATTGCTGTATGATCTCAGAACTTCAACTTCACCCAGAAAATCTGATCCCAAAACCTACCAGCAGGCATTTTCCTTGATATTAGTTCTCTGTTCTCCTGTACTGTATGCTCAAAATGTGAATCTATTAAAATGCTGTGAAGACCTGACATAGATTTAGCAAAATCTTAGAGAACTTGAAAGAGGGGTTCTCCAAATTCAACCTACATATCAGGGCGTAAAACATTTGATGGCCAATTTCAGCCGGACATAAGCATTTAGACAGGTACCTTAAACTTACACTTATGGGTAAATTCAGATTTTTAAAACATTCATTTCTCTGACTCTTTGGTTTTACCATAACCTATACTACTGATGCACAAACTTAAATGCAGATTTTACACACGTACACATGCACACACACGTGTATATATAAACACACTGGAATGATCTACAGATCATCCTTGGTTAAGTTTTAATCTTTGCATCTTTCTTTATATAGAAGTTTCTTTGCCAACTCCATTAAGATCAAGGGTGTAGAGTTCAAGTTCTGAATATCAGGTCTTCAGTGATACCACTTTATATGAGTACAATAAGAACACAAATCTTTGACTTCTTTACTGAAGGTGAATAGTTATTATCTACACTAGTTTGGATATCCTCCGAGTTGCATAGCTTGGTCACAGATGTAAATGATATCAATGATATTGATCCTCTAAACTATATTGTGGCTGCTAATTGGTATTGTTAATCACCCACCTACTCAGTGTGAGCCCTGAACAAATTGAGATATAAGTACAGTCAGATAGGTGTGAATATTGGCTTCATTTGTGATGAATATCATTGGATACATTATAGTCATTAGTATCAGTGATTAAGAGATGTCATACAAATGTTAAATCATCTGTTTCCCATGCAATAGCACCATGTGCTGCAGCCTCAGATGCAACAAGATCTTAGGTAATAACTTGTTCAAGATCCCTGGAGGCCTTGTAAAGTAGAATATTTAAATGATGGAATAAAAAGAAATAGATAGTAATAATTCAACCAGATAATTCGCCAGAACTTAACTTTTATTATGTAGGCAAGATGGTTTCTCATGGAAAAATAACATGGTACTTCTCTGAGATAAGAGCATAAACATAAGAAAGTAGCTCAGATCAAAGAGTTTCCTCAAACTAATCTCACTCACCTGCCAAGTTAGAAGTAGAAATTGTAAGATGAGGTTAGTCTGCCCTAGTGAGATACTCAATAGCAAATGAAGAGAAGAGGGCAGAGCTCTTTAGTCCAGGTAGCCAGTCATCAGGCTGGAAAGGAAAAGATCAGTACATTCATGAGCTTTGATTTTACCCCAATCTCAGCAAGCAGATCAAACTGAGTAGAAAACTAGCTAATCACTAAGATGTTTTTAAACCATTCTTAGGTGGAAAATTTCTAATACATATAAATGAAGACAAGATAGACTATAACAGATATGTGCCTGTTATTCAGCTTCCATAATTATCTAAACTTTAAAATAAGTTTTCTCTATCACCCTCAGAAACCTCTTTGGGGGATGACATTTGACCTTTTATAAATTCATGACATTTTATCCAGAGATTTATCAGTAGGAATATTGAAGTGATAGGAACATTTTCTTTTTACATAGTCAATTTGCCATTATCACACGGAACATTTTCAATAAACAATGACAGATTCTCATTTTTAATATGTAGTCAAGATTCACTGGTCTAATGCTCTTTATATATCAAATAAATTTTTTCAACTCTATAAATAACTGATATAATAACTGATAAAGCATAAAAGAAGATTTTACAATTTCCAATTGCTTTTTCAAAAAAAAAAAAAAATAAGTTCAACAGGCACTTTAAATTTTGTTCTGGCTTTCTATGGCGTATGATCCTGGTGCTTATCCTTATCTCAGAGCACTGTATTATTCATCCTTATTAGATATTTTTAATATTTTTTCCACCCACACAAGATTCATTAGTAACTTAAAACCTGAGTTATAAAAGACCTTCTAATCTTTTAGCTTATCTTTATATAA